TCTCACCCACCTTGTCTCTCTCCTCTCCTGGGAGCAATACGGCTACAACAACACGGCAAACATGTATTCCATTCTCTTGTCTGACCATGGATAGATCCTGCGGTCCATAGCACCATATAAGACCTGCAGGATCAGGCACCACAATGTCAGTGTAAAGGCCCTGTATCTTTAAGAGCATCCCGAGCACATCTCAGAGCTTTACATTTCTGAATGATCCCAATGGTCAGTCACTTAATATCCTCAAGTAGTGGGTCCCCCTCAGACATTTCCCCCCACATCCATCGCTTCCTTGGGCATCCTCTTCCCAGCAGCAACAACTGCTCCACAGGTTCCGAATGACAAACCAACTGGAGTTCCGAAGAGCTCTGTCCACCTACCCAGTAAGTGGTAATACTCAGACCTCTCCTTGGTGAGATACGCTTGGCCAATCATTCTGCAAGGAGGAAGAGAAAGGAAGGCTGCAGTCAAAGAGCGAAAATACTCCTGGTCAGACTGAGTGGGGGCGCAGCTGGGTGCCCACTCTCTCTGAATCCAAGCACTGCTTCCAAGAACGGTTTCATTATTCTTAGCCTCCTGCCCCCAGACGCTCAAGTTGAGCTGGAGTGAAGTAGTGTCATGGGGTTTCCCTTCAGAAGAGCGCTAAAGGAACATCAAGTGAAGTGTGAGGCTTCAGCTAACCTAACAGGCGGGTGTGTGCTCTGTCTCTTTGGAGGCCGTGAGCGTAAAGTGAGAGGGACTGGATGCTGCAGGGAGACGTTTCTGGGGAACTTGGCAGCTGGGACTCACTGATTGTTCCTGGCAAGCCCACATTTAGACTGGCAGAGTCTTGAGGAGTTTGCTGGCAAGGCAGACAGACTGGTGTGTCAGGGACCGGCCACACAGCTTAGCAGCCCCAAAGCTCTTGCTCTTGCTAAGGCAGGTGGTAACAGTGGCTCACGGTTCTGAGGGTTCTGAGCATGACGTCCCAGGGGACACTTACGGTTTCTCACTGATGCCAAGATACTGATAGACCACGCCGGGATTCACAACTCCTTTCATCTCAGCCTGGGGGAGCTCTTCAAAGAAGCAATGAGGCAGCCTGGAGTTGGCATAGGTCACTGCATCACAGGACACTAACCCCGGATAATACATCATCATCCGGGCAGCGAGATTCACCTTCTGGCCAATGACTGTGTGGTGGAGAGAGCAAGAAAATGGGCACTGAAAAGTTAACTGAGCTCCCGCTCATCCTCCTGTGAACAGCTCCATATGTATCCATGCATACATACCCCTCCACCAGCAAAAATACGCAGCCTACACACACACTCTGTGGGTACCCAGGGGATACCAACCATGCACAGGACCAGAGAAACAGACTGTACCTGTGTATTCGTGCCTTGCATGATGGCCAACTATTCCGCAGAACACTGACCCGCC